AGGAGGAGGAGGAGGAGGAGGAGGAGGAGGAGGAAGACTGTGGGGTCTTTGGTGTTCTCTGAGCTTGCTTGTTTTCTTGCAGACATTTCATTACTCAAACTAGGGAACATCCCCTGCCTGCTAGTGATCAGTGCGAGTGATATTATCTAGTTCGGTAACGAAACGTCCGCAAGAAAACAGCCAAACTGAGCGAACACCGAGGTGCCTTCCTTTCCACCCTGAGCTTCCAATATTCTCCTTTCTCGGGGCCTGTAAGTTGAGGAAGCCCAAACGTGGCAGGAAAGAGCCCCTTCGTCTGCGTGAGGAATTAACTCGCCAGCTGTTCCCTTTCAACCCCCCCTTTGATAAACGAGGCTGGCGCCACCTTTTTCTGGTAATTACCAGGTTAACAGGGAGCTACAGGATCAAGTGCAGAAGCTATAAATCTGCTATAAATCACCGGCAAACGCCGCCAAGGAAGCTCAGCTGAGCCAGCTGCAGGGGGGGGGCTCCAGACTGGATGTGGGGAGCAGAAGCACCCCTCTCTGCTTACATTTAAAGCCCCGAAAGAATCAATCAGAAAAGAGCTGGAAGGGACCTTGGAGGTCTTCTAGTCCAGCCCCCTTCTGCTCAGGCAGGAGACCCTACACCATTTCAGACAGATGGCAGTCCAGTCTCTTCTTGAAAGCTCCCAGTGATGGAGCACCCGTAACGTCTGAAGGCAACTTCTGTTCCACTGGTTAATTGTTCTCACTGTCAGGAAGTTTCTCCTTAGTTCTAGGTTGCTTCTCTCCTTGATGAGTTTCCATCCGTTGCTTCTTGTCTTATTTCTGGTGCTTTGGAGAATAGCTTGACTCCCTCTTCTTTGGGGCAGCCCCTGAGATATTGGAACACTGCTATCATGTCCCCCCTCGTCCTTCTCTTCATTAAACTAGACACACCCAATTCCAGCAACCATTCCTTGTATGTTTTAGCCTCCAGTCTCCTAATCATCAGTTGCCAAGTTTCAAGACCCCTGCCCTAGACCAGGCGAACCTATGGCAGGGGTGCCAGAGGCGGCACTGAGAGCCCTCTCTGTGGGCACGCGCGCCGTCACCCCAGTCCTAGGCCTTCAGCTAGGTTTTATAAAATCTTTTCGCTTTAGGCCTCCGCCGCCATGTGCAAAAAAAAAAAAAAGGTTCAATCAATCAGTCAATTTCAACTTCTCGCGGGAAAAAAAAGATCTTGCAAAGTTGGAATTGATTGATTGAACTTTTTAGTCCCACCCAGTCTGTTACCACCACAGCCACGCCCACCCAATGGGCCACACCCACCCAATGGGCCATGCCCACTCAATGGCCACACCCACCCGGCACCCGACGATGCATAAGTGGGTTTTGGGTTGCAGTTTGGGCACTCGGTCTCTAAAAGGTTCGCCATCATTGCCCTAGACCATTTCGGACAAATGGCTGTCCACTCTCTTCTTAAAAACCTCGGATGTTGGCTAACCCACCAACTTTGTTATCATGGTAGCCAGGATCAGTTTGCAGAAGGCAGAATTTGGAGGGTGTTCTTCAGGGGGTTGGAGCAGATGACCTCCAAGGTCCCTTCCAACTTTATTACTACTACTACTACTACTACTACTATTATTATAAACTGGGGGGGTAAGGGGTGGGTTTCGTGGTCAAGGAATCAAGGCATAAGGTGCAAATCAGCCGGTGGGAGGGAGTGCATCTGTGTGTGTGTGTGTGTGTGTGTGTGTGTTTGTGTTGGCCAGGGCCTCAGCTGTCTTTATACCTGTAAGCCCTACTAAATGTGGCAGACAGCCTCAACGCTGCCGAGCGGCACCCAGCCTAATGTGCTAAAGTACCGCTACTTTAAGTTGGGATGCAAGAGACACACTCTGCTCTCATTAGCCCCGTAACGGTGGGAACTGCTGCATCGAGGGATGTGCAAATGAAGCAGGTTAGAAAGCGTCGGAAACCTCCCCCCACCCCCTTGCTGTCTCCGCAGAGAGCCACTTAGCAGCGACCGAGACGACGGACCAACCTTGTCCTTTGAAATCTTGTGTGCGAAGGGACACGTCCCGTCCGTCTTCTTGCACGCGCCGCGCAGGAATCTGTCGAGCGGACCAAAGAGGAGAGGGTTAGGGTTAGGAGATCCAGAGAGTAAGGAGGGACCGGGGGTCTTCAACTTAGGAACGCAACGGGGACGAGGCAACTGTTAAAGAGGGGTGTGCCTGATTTCGTAACCTTTTTTCTTTAAAATCACGGTCGTTAAGCAAATCGCCGCAGTTGCAGAAGGAGAGAGTCTGCCGGGGTGGTGGAGTCAAGAGAGGAAGCAGCCTGGAATCGTGACATTGTCGTAACCAGTCCCAACCCTTCTCAAAATCTTTTTAACCAAGCGCCCATTGAGTGCCAAGCATGAATCGACTCAATTCCCGCGTGCAGGCGTGAGCAATAAATCAGCTGAACTGGAACCCCATGTGTGGTCCTCGTTCGTCACGCCCGACATTAAGAGAAACAGGCTGTCATCAAGCAAACCTGGTTGCCTTCCTTGATTTCACTCGTCGGAAGCTGGCTGGGGAGATCGCAAATGGCGATCCCGTGACTGCCGAGATGCGGCAACATGGTAAACACCCGCCTGTTGCCAAGCGCCTGAATGTTGATCGCAGGACCGTGGGGATACTGTGCAAGGACTGTGTTTCGGTCCTTACAAGCTGTCCTGAAACTTAACGACCACTTGTTTTGTGACGAGGGGACTCAAAGGAGGGACTCGGGACTGTTTCACGGAGGCCGAAATGGTCGAAATTTGGATGGCTTGGTAGCCAGTTCGTATTTTGTGACGGTCGCCGTGTCCCGGGATCGTGAGATCCCCTACTGACGAGCAAAACCAAGTGAGCAAGCCAGATTCGCTTAACACCCCCCCCCAGGTGACCAACCGCTGCCGGGTTTCGCTGAACAACGGTGGCAAGGCAGGCAGTAAAATACAAGGCAAAACTCACTTAACAACTTTCTCGTTTAACAACAGAAATGGTGGCTCAATTGTGGTCGTAGGTTGAGGACCACCTGTATTTTAAAAAACTAAAACGTATGAAGAGTCTAAAGCAGTGTTTTTTCAAGCTTGGCCACTTTCAGATGTGTGGGCTACAATTCCCAGAATTCAGCTGTCCATCTGTCGGGCGGTCTCCCTCCCTCTTCGGGGAGCCGCACGGTCAGCCAGAGGTCCGGCGTCCTGGCCGACCTCTTCCTCATCCGGTGGGTCCGTGCTTTTGGGGACAGCCTTGTGTTTGAATTCGCTCTCAGGTAAGGGGAAAAGACAGGTAGGCCTCGGCTTAACAGCCCTAACGGAGCCGGTCAAGCACAGTCCCGTGCGAGGAGTCGAACAGCGAGTTAGGACGCTTTTCGCAGCCGTCGGTAAATGAACCGGTCATTAGCTGGGGGTCGCTTTTGAGGATCTCATAAATTGCAGCCGGCTGATTGAGGGGTGCTGCTGTAAGAGGCTGCCCAGAGCAAGATGGGGGGGGGGGTCCCAACTAGGCCACTTTCAGACGTGTGGACTTCAACTCCCAGAATTCTCCAGCCAGCATTCGCTGGCTGGAGAATTCTGGGAGTTGAAGTCCACACGTCTGAAAGTAGCCAAGGTTGAAAAAGGTGTCAAAGGTGACATCCTAGCTGGGATGTAACCTGGAATTTTCGGCCCGCTACGCCGGAAAGGGAAGGGAGAAGACAAAGAGGAGAGACCTGGTGCAGACGGCCACTTTCTCGGGGTCGTGGATGTACGGGCAGCTCTCCCCCCGGTTGCATTTGCCAAAGCGGTTGTAGTACATGCAATATTCCTTCTTTCGGTCTTTCCGCTGCTTGGCCTGGCGGATGATGGCGAGGCTCCGTTGCACGGCGCGGCTGCAGGGAGAGAGAGAGAGAGAGACAGGAGAGGCCGGGGTTACAATGCAGGCGTTTTGCAGAAGAGCGTTAACAGAGCTGGGAGGGACCGTGGGGGGTCTTCTAGGCCAACCCCCTGCTTGGGCAGGAGACCCTAGACCAGGGGTCTGCAACCTTAAAGGACTCAAAGAGCCACTTGGAGCCGTTTCCCAGAGAAAACACTGGGAGCCACAAAACGTGCATGCGCACACACACAAGGGGTGGGGAGCTTGATTGAAGAGTTTAATTAAAAAGAAATAGAGGCTGCTGTGCATGAGTTCTCTCTCTCTCCCCTTCTCTCTCTTTCTCTTTCCTCTCCCTCTCTCTTTCCTTCTCTTTCCCCTTCTCTCTCTCTTCCCCCCTCTCTCTCTCTTTTTCTTCCTCTCTCCCCCTCTCTCTTTCCTCTCCCTCTCTCTCTCTCTCTCTCTCTCTCTCTCTCTCTCTATCTATCTCTTTCCTCTCCCCCCCTCTCTCCCTCTCTCCAATCTTCTGCTCACCTGGCAAGCTGGCTTCCAGCTGTTCTCCAACAAGCTGACACACATTCTTGGGCTGCCTCTCTCCTGCCCTTCCTGCTTCCTGCAGAGACGCAGCAAAGGGAGGAGCCCTGCCCAATAAGCTTGTCAACTTGTCTGAACGTGAGGGCACTCTTTTTTTACACAAACACACACACACACACACACACACACACACACAGAGAGAGAGAGAGAGAGAGAGAAGGGAAGTGCAAGTGCCTCTCTCTCTCTCTCTCTCTCTCTCTCTCTTTCTGCAAATGGCAGAGGAGGCTGGGAGCCACAGGAGAAGGCTCAAAGAGCCACATGTGGCTCCAGAGCTGCAGGTTGCCGACCTGTGCCCTACACCATTCCAGACAAATGGCTGTCCAATCTCTTCCTAAAAACCTCCAGTGTTGCAGCATCCACAACATCTGGAGGCAAGCTGTTCCACTGGTTAATTGTCTTCACTGTCAGGAAATTCCTCCTTCATTCTAAGTTGCTTCTCCCCTTGAGTTGTTTTTTTTGGGGGGGGGAGGGTAGATGGGGTTGGGTGGGGAAGAAAAACAAAAATGAAGCAGACCCACAACTCAAAGATAGAAATGGAAATGACGTAGAGGGCAGAGAACAGGTTGAAATTTCACGAGAGCTGGACTTCCTACCTCCAGATTGCGTATCAGGGGGGCATCGATCACTTTAATTCACTCAGTATTGAGCAGCCAAGCGTTGGAATGACATTATTCAAGCATTTATTGAAAAAGAGCCCGTAATATTCAAGCGATCCGTTCAATAGCGATGGGGGAATGTCTACCGGTTGTATTCATTAATTTGTGCATTGTTAACCTGCGTGGGCTGCGTTGCTGGGATTACATTGCTGCGGTGTATGAAAAGGTGTTTAAATCTCCCTCTGAGCCTCTGTTGGGTCAAGAGGGCTGCCAAGCTCCAAAATTCAGCTTGGAAGGCGACGCAGGAAATAGGGAATTTAAAAGAGCCGCCTGGGAAAATCTAAGCCGAATCGAAGCGGCTGCCGTGAGCCCCTCTTCGACGTAAAGGGCGTGGGCTGTGGATGATAGGCTTGGTTACTCCCAGGAGCAGAGGTGTGGGTCTTGGCTAAGAGATTTTATTTATTTATTTATTTATTTGATTAAATTTATATACCGCCCTTCTCCCGGAGGACTCAGGGCGGTGCACAGCATATTAAAACAAATAACAATAAAATACCAGAATAAAAACCCCTCTAAAACCAAATTAAAAGCCAAATATTAGTAGCTGTGTAATAATTAAAATTATATTAAAATCATCCCTAACTAAAATCCAC